TAGGTCCTTACAACTATGTTATCGGATTTTCAATTAGTTTTTAAAAGTTTGTTTTTTATTTATACTTTATTAATTATTTAATTTAGTTTAAAAATTTAATATTATTTAATATATTTTATATTTAAATAATTATTAAAATATAATTTATATTATTATAGTAGTAATATTAAAAAAATAAAAACAAAAACAATAATAATTAAGAAATCTAAAAATTTCAAATTCTATTTTATTAATTTAATATTTTAATTAATTTAATATAGTTATATATATTAAATCAAATTTTATATAATTATTTTTTATTTTTATTACTTTTATTTTAATTATTTTATTTCCAATTTTTGTAATATAATTATTATATGAAACATTAAATTACTATTAAATTTTAAATAGAAAATAAAATTTAAAAAAAAAAAGTCATCGATAGTGGTATCCGATAACTATATTATCAGATTTCCAAGTCCGACGTGAAAGTTTTTAAATTTTATTTTTCTTTTTATACTTTATTAATTATTTAATTTAATTTAAAATTTTAATATTATTTTATATATTTTATATTTAAATAACTATTAAAATATAATTTATATTATTATAGTAGTAATATTAAAAAATTAAAATAATAATAATTAAAAAATCTAAAAATTTCAAAGTCCTATTTTATTAATGGGTTAAATATGTTTTTCGTCCCTTAAGTATCATTGATTTTTGGTTTTAGTCCCTACTCAAAACTTTAATGGTTTTTAGTCCTCAAAGTATTGAAACATGTAATATTAGTCCTTAAAAATGGACGACGTCAACTTTTTATTGATCTGGCAAACGGCAAGGCCACGTCTTATGCCAACTTGCATCTTCACTCTCTGTCACGTTGCTTGTGCTTGAACTTCGTTCATCTTTTCCGGCAGAGCAATCACGGTTTTGCTTCTCGTGCACCATCACCTCGCGCAACAGCCCAAACCGTAGATCAAGCAGGCATCTCCATTCTTCACCTGCTAAGAATCAAACAGCCGAGCCCATTTTTCTTCCTTGCGAGTCATCCATGGCATTCCCAGAATCACCTGAAACTCAGACAAATCCAGAAAACGCGAGCAACCCCAATCCCAAATCGCACCGTGCTGGAACACTGAGTTCTACGACGAACCCTAAATCGCTTAAGCCTCTCTGTCGCGCCTTCATCTTGCAAGCTCCCCTGCACCGACACAACTACTTGTAGAAGTTGTCTTTCATGCTAGTGTACTGTTGTTTACTTGTGGAAGAATATCTCTCTGTGCTTTTTATTTTTTGGGATACAGTTGTATGTGCATTTTTCTACAACTTTCGTTACTTTCATGATTAATTGGCTCCTTATCCTTTATTCTCTAACCTGCAAGTAGTAATTAATTACCCCGTGTTTTAGGGGCTGACTTAAATCACCATGGTCACAAAGGAGAAGAAAACACGCTCTGTCATCTCATCAATGAAAATCCTTGTTTACAGAAGATGGTAAATTCTGTGATGGTGGAAATAAGTTCCTTGATTATATTTTTCTGCAACTTTCCTTCCTGGGAGGGGTGTTAACATCATTTTAATTTTATTCCATATCTTTATACACAGAAAGCAGTATGAGAAACCCCGCAAACAATGTCGGAGACTCATCAAGCAAAGTAATGTTGAGGTTCGTTCATGGACAAGTCGAGGTTTGTGAGCTTCGTCAAGTTTCCTAGAGAAGGAGGAATGGGGCCTATAAGGTTGCACCCTGCTAGCCAGAAGAAGAACCCAGCTTTGCCCCCAACTGAGATGATGAAGAAGCAATGTGGCAGATACTTAAGAAGAAGACGTGGCTTCGCCGTTTGTCATATCAATAAAAAGTTGACGTCATCCATTTTTAGGGATTAATATTACATGTTTCAATACTATGAAGACTAAAAGCCATCAAAGTTTTGAGTAGGAACTAAAACCAAAAATCAGTGATACTTAAAGGATGAAAACATATTTAACCATTTATTAATTTAATATTTTAATATAATTTAATATATTTATATATATTAAATCAGATTTTATATAATTATTTTTATTTTAATTACTTTTATTTTAAGTGTTTTAATTTTAATTTTTGTAATATAATTATTATAATAATACAAATTATATTTTAATAATTATTAGGGTTAAATATGTTTTTGGTCCTTCAACTATTACGTGATTTTTGGTTTTTGTCCCTCTCCGAAACTTTGATACACTTGCATCCTTCTCTTTTTAGAAAATATTAGATTTAGTCATTCACTCCTGTTGGCATTAACTTTTTTCTTAGGTGGCTAACGGAATGTCACATCACCTTTTCTTTTTTTGACACTTTTCTTTTTAAAACTGAGTCAATTCTCTCTCTACTTTCTTCATGCGAGAGGTTTCTGGCGAATGGATTGGTGGGAAATGCTCGTCTTCAACAATGGTGGTGAAGAAAGCTAGCAGTGTAGGAATGATTACGGTGAACGAAATCTCCATTGATACTACCCATCCCATCACTCTCACCTGATTAATCGTATTCATCATCGCCAAGTTGGTGTTCTTATCATACCATTGATTTAGTCCTTCACTCGTATCTTGTTTGTTCCATGTTATTATGCTTGATTGTATTTACATGATCTTGAATTTTTGCAACCTTCCCTGCCAAAATTGTATAATGTAAAAGGAAAGCATAAATTGTAGTTTACTTGTGAGGGTGGGTGGTTTTCTTTGAATTGCGTATATTCTGATTATGGTTACATTTGCAACCAATGTTGTCAACAATCTAAATTGTAAGCTTACACAATCTTACAATCTTCTTACCCTTGACCAAGCTAAGTTGCCCATAAGATCACTCCTGGGTGGGATTATAGTAGGACTGAAGTGTGATCAAATTTTTGTGGAGTCATGTGATTTGGGTCTTCTGGGTCTGGTTGCATAACCTGATTCACCAAAGGCGTTAGGGTTCGCGACCGGGAGAGGTCAGTCTGCCGTGAAGGGCGCGGGTTCTTTCGTTGGAGGCACTGGCAGCGGTTGGCCTCGTCGGTGGCCGGGAGAGTGCGTCCCGTTGAGTGAGGGTTTTCTCTCTCACGCACGAGGAAAAGACGTAAAAGGAGGGCTTTCGCGGTCGCCGGTGATGAGTCTGTCGACGAGAGGCATCACCGGCGACGCCTTTGCCCGATCGGAGGGGGTGTTGGGTCGGTGGGTGCTGGCTCGGTGGGTGCTGTTGTTGTCACAGAGAAAGAAGAGGGGATGACCCTGTTTTGCCCAAGGAAGAAGAAAGACAACTAACGTCATTTTGGTTTGAAGTTGCGACAGTCGGTGCAATGGATCGAAGAAGGAGATACTGACATTTGCATTGAAAAAATCCAACGTGACAAACGTTACAAAGAAAAAATGTCTTCACACGTGACCAAAGTGTGCCAAAATTTAAAAGAGGGACAAAAAATAAAATCGCTTGATAGTTGATGGACTAAAAACATATTTAATCCTAATTATTAAAATATGAAAAGATATTAAATAATATTAAATTTTTAAATTAAATTAAATAGTTATTAGATTATAAATAGAAGACAAAATTTTAAAAATTTTGTTAAAAAATGCCTAGTTAAAGAAGTATAGATTATTTTAAATAGAAAGAGAAAAAGTAAAGAAAAAATAATTACTAAGGTTAAAAAAGAATTTTTTTGAAAAAGTTGGAGGTGGAGGGTGAAAGACGCGTACTTATCTATGGATTCTTACACAATCAAAACTCGAAAGTACATGTCCAGTGCTAATTTTGTTTTGTCAAGAGACTTCAGAATATTGTTAGAAATTGAAAAAAAAAAAACTTAAATGTAAAAGAGATTTGACGAAGTTTTATGCCACTTTAATTTGCAGATCTGTCTTAAACACCTGAGGGGATGCATGCTTTTATATAGTTTACCTTCACTGGTAAGATGTTATTAATTCATAAATAAATATTTATCGGGCAATAATTATCTTTCACTTCAAAAATAAAATTAAAACTTGAGATATTTTTCTATTATTTACCATTTATTTCATATTTTCTTTAAAAAACCACTTTTTCTATGTTATATAGTATTTTCAAACTAAAATAAAATATAGCAAGAACAGTTTAAAATGATTTGAAATTGAAAAAAACTTGTATGATTAATTCATGTTAATTATTTTATTTGACATCAATAATAATTAGTATTGAAAGCAGAGAATAAATTAAATAACTGAAAATTTTTTAAGTTAAAAATAAAAATTTGATTATTCTAAAAATTATGAAAGGCTAATTTTAATAACGAAATTCTCTTTTTTTTCCTACATTTATCCCTTCATTGTATGAGAAATTAATCTTATCTATGTTATTCTGATTATTATATATAGGTTTTTACATATAGTGAAATTCGATTGAAGAAACTGTTTAAGTTTAATTTCATTTTTTATTATCAAATATAATATTTTTGAAATCGATAAAATCCATGAAACTAAAAGTTCAATAATAAAATTTGAAAAATTAAAAATTGAATATGACACAACCGACAAATTACATTCATTTAACATGATTAAACAATAATATATTGATAATAATTATATTATTTTTTAATTTAAAATCATAATATATATTATTATATTATTAAAAGTAGTGTCAAATTAATATTTTTTTAATCAGGGTCAAACTAACTTTTTTTTTAATGAATATTGTAAAATTGGAAGGTTGAGTGATAAAATATAATTTAAAGTGTAATGTATGGATTGAAAATGATCTGCTATATTATATCATTCCACCTAAAATATGTACAATTTTAAATTTTGTATAATATAATTCATGAAATTAAAAATTTAGGATAAAATTTACTAAAAATATGAATGCTCAGAGGTAAAATATCAAACTAAGCCTCAAACTAAGCCAACTATTTATTTTTTCAAAAATTATGTTTCACGTTTGCTTTCTTATATACAAAAAATTTAATAACTTTTTTTTTATTAGTAAAACAAAAACTACGAAGGTTTTACTTTTGTTTCATTATAATACATTTAGTACATTTTAAAAAACCCGAATGGGCCGTGGTAGACCTGTTGAGTCTTGGGCCGGGCTACGGCACGCCACATAACAGCTTGCGGCGGTCGGAGAGATGAACGGGATGGAGTGCGCGGCGAGAGGGAGCGGAAAACGGTGCGGCGGTGCCGCCACGCGTCTGTGCACTCGCTGCGAAGCCGTCGCATATTGCTCTCTTTCTCACCAGGTTTGCATCAACTTCTTTTTCTTATGTGTGCCATTAGGTTGTAAACTGCGTCGTAAATTCATTCATAGCTTCACTGCTTTCGTATTTGGTCGCTTAGATTGCACACTGGAGTCGTCACAAACACGAGTGTGATAGGTTGCAACAGCAGATGAAGAGTGTTGAAGTCCTCAACGATTTTCCCTTCACTTTCTCTCGCGAAGCCACGTTTCAGGTCACCTCTCATCTTCTTCCTTCTTAATACCGCTTTCGGAACAGTAGGATTTCTCATTTATTTTTAAATTTTTGTTTTTTAATCGATGTTTATGTAGTTTTAACAGGTTTGTGTGAAGCACGAAGGTAGATGTTCATTTTTGAGCAACAGAGGACTTCATAAAGTGGGAATGTGGCTGCATGAATGCGGTTGTGGGGCGACATCTGCTTCATTTGATTGTTTAGGGTTTCCTCTTGTTTCCTTTATATTCTGAAACTTCTTTGAATTAAATTTCAATTTATATCATTGATGAGTTCCTTTTAGAGTTGAAGAATGTTCCAACTTATGATTATAATTTAGTTACAACCTTTTCACTTCAGGTTTTGAATTTTATTTTTTGCAGTTTAAATAATGGTTGGGATCTCCCAAGTGTTTTATGTCCATGTGGTAAGTTTGTTTGTCAAGCTTCATCTTCTTCAACTTCCCTTTCCTCTTTTTTAATTAGATTTAGAATTAAGTGCAATGTATAACTGGTCAGGGCCAAACTCTCTGGTATTAGAGCAATTGCATAGTTGGAGAGACTACTATAAGTGGAGAAGCATCCCACTAGACTCGCCTGTTGCTTTGCTTCTTCATTGGGTACGGTTGTGTAAATTTTTGTCACAATTAGCTCAAGGAAATTCTATACTTTTATCCTCGTTTCAATTTTTTGACTGGGAATCTGTTATCTTATTTTGTTTGTAAGCAGTAATGGTGTGTGCAGTTGGTTTTGGCTCTTATTTTGTTTGCAGTCAAAATACAAGGGTTGGGAGGCTTAATCCCCCTGCTACCTTCTCAGATTCCACCTACCACAATAAAATGTTTGCTTTCACCTGTAAAATCTGTAGGGGAATGGATCTTTGTCCCATTGGTTACTCTGATAGAAGAGAACGGACTACTAAATTTTGTTGCCTCCAATACTATAAGAATAGACTTGTTGTTACATGTATTTACTCATTACATTTTTTTTAATTATATGGTTTTTACAGAATTAAAGGGTTGCCTCTTTTTCAGCCGCTTACAATATATCATGCTGCTCGTCTTGTTGGAATTACAGCCTTGAATCCTGAAATCAATGAAAAGTTGTACATACATTACCTCGGTATATCATCACCCATAAATTTTCCCTAGACATTTTAATTTCAAATTTGGAGTATTTTTCATTAGTTATCTTTTATGTTATATGTTAGGAATGGGACTTGAATTGTGTGATTTTGTTAGGTTCCTTTATACAAGGAACCGAACAGTAGCAAAAATTACACACACTCAACAGTATAAAGGAATATGCATGTATCTGTATTTCTATTTCCTCTGTAATGTGTAGAAAAAGATGAATACAGGTGTCTATCTCTTCCCCAAGGAAGCCTCCCTTCCTCCACTGGCCAAGAGGTCCAGTCTCAATTCCCAAAATAATATTCGATACCCTCTCTCCTTAATCTGTTTTTTATTTATATTCCCTCTCTCTTCTAACCAACTAACCACCGTCTCCCACTACTTATTTCATCCCTTTTTTACCCCTTCTCACGTAAACCTTTAATTGCCTAACATTACCCTCCCCCTCATTATCAACCTTGTCCTCAAGGTTGAAGTTAGGAAACTGCTGTTTGATATAGTGCTCCTCCTCCCAAGTAGCACCTTCAATATCATTCTCCTGCCACTGTATGAGGACTTGGGGTATCTCCTTCCCCTGATTTTGCTGGTTCCTTCACTGTAACACCTTCACTGGAGTATATC